TCAATAATTAAATAGCAGGTATGTTCCTCTCCCATTGAATTAGTTCACCTGTTCTTCATGAATTTCCATAAGATCACTTCACATTCCAGTCTGGAATGGAAAAAAAAAAAACCAACAAAAATTTGATGTGTGTAGAAATGAGCCAAGCAGTTGCCTGGAACACATTTCAGAAAATGACTGTACTCCTTACTGCATGATGTCAAAACTGTCTTTGCCACCTATCTTCAGAATGTTCCTTGAAAACTCATTAAAACATTTACAAATAAACTTTTTACATTAAAACCTAGGGTATCCACGCAGTGTTTTCTTCTATTGTGAAAGCCTCAGCAATTACAGATTAGTCTGGTAGATCTTTGGCTCCTATCTCCCCAGTTTTCTAAAGGCAGCATTTTCTATTGTAATTCATTATTATTTGTTTCCTTGACAATCTTTCTCATCAAAACTTCAAGACACAAATGATTATGGTCTTGGCAGCCCTGAAACATTTTTCATCAAAAAAGTTTATAGAACATTTTGTTAATCCTCTCTGTATTAGTGTCAACACAGCAAGTGAGGATAAAAAAGCAGTAGGAAGAACTTATTTGCCTGCTTCATGAGGAAAGGAAGTGTATATGTATCTGTAAATGCACCTGCAAATATTCCTATATATGTACATACTACAAAATATTCTGTGCTGTTATTTGGGTAGCACAGTGCTGGGACATTGCTTCAAATGTTGCTACTTCTAGTAAAGCAGAGTAACGTTTGGTCCTCTAAATGATACTCAGCTTGACTAAAACACAACTGAATAAAGTCATTCTGACTACTTCAGCAAGCCTCTGAAGTGCCTTTTATGCCAAGTGAAACATATGACTGCACAGCATTATACTTTACATCTTTGTTCATGCACAAGTACACTCACATGCATTTATCCAGTATTCCATATGGACTATTCTACACTCCTACCACAATTTTAATTCCCAAAAGGAAACCATTAGGATCAAGAACCCTCGGAAAAAAAGGTGCTACATAGATATAAAAAATTCAAAGTTTACTGAAAACCCGAAGAACTTTCATACATAATTTTTCTTCTAATATTATAATTTGTAGTCATTACCTTCATGTCTAACAAACAGAAAAATTTCCATGAGCAGATTGCTGTCAATGCCAGACTCTTAGCTTGTAGCTGATATTAAGGCAGCAAATGCACTGGATGCTGTGGGTACTGTTGAGAAGCTAAATCCCAACAATAATAAACCTTAGTACCATTTTCAGGGGCAACAGTAAGCATAATTCAGTATACTCCACTCCTCAGTTCTCTGCGTTTGCTGTCTTTTTGTCTTCCACATAAAAATGTCATAGTTTAACCCCAGGCAGCAACTAAGCACAACCCAACTGCTCACTCACTCTCCTCCTCTGGAGGGATGGGGAAAGAGTATCAGAAGGGTAAAAGTAAAGAAACCTGTGAGTGGAGATAGTCTGTTAAACAAGTAAAGGAAAAGGCATGAACACAAGCAAAGCAAACCGAAGAATGTATTCACTACTTCCCATCAGCAAGCAGGTGTTTAGAGCCATCTCTGGGAAAACAGGACTCCATCACACATAACAGTTACTTGGGAAGTTAAATGCCATCACCTCAAGCATCCCCCTTTTACTTCTTCTTCCCACAGCTTTACATGTTGAGCATGACGCCATATGTTATGAAATAACATATGATATATATAAAATAATGATATGACATATATATCGTATGTTAGATCATATCATATAAATATAACGTATGAAATAACATATGACGCAGGGAACTACAGACCAGCCAGTCTTCAAGATTTTGTCTGGCAAAATCTTGGAGCAGATTCTCCTGGAAGGCATGCTAAGGCACATGAGAAACAACAAGGTGCTTGGTGACAGACAGCATGGCTTCACTAAGGGGAAATCCTGCCTGACCAGTTTGGTGGCCTTCTATGATGGGGCTACAGAACTGATGCATAGGGGTAGAGCAGTTGATGTCATCTACCTGGACTTGTGCAAAGTGTTCAACACTGCCCCACACGACATCCTTGTCTCTAAATTGGAGAGACATCAATTTGATGGATGGACCACTCTGTGGATAAAGAACTGGCTGGATGGCGACATGCAAAGAGTAGTGAGTAACAGCTCAATGTCCAGTAGGACAGTAATGAGTGGTGTCTCTCAGGGATTGGTGTTGGCACCGGTCTTGTTCAACACCTTTGTCGGTGACATGGACAATGGGATTGAGTGAATATTCAGCAAGCTTGCCAATGACACCAAGCTGTGTGGTTAGGTTGATAATGCTGGAGGGAAGGAATGCCATCCAGAGGGACCTCGACATGCTTGTGTGGTGGGCTGATGCCAACCTTCTGAAGTTTAACCATGAAAAGTGCAAGGTCCTACACCTGGGTTGGAGCAATCCCAGGCACAGCTACAGGTTGGGCAGAGAAGAGATTCAGAGCAGCCCTGTGGAGAAGGACTTGGGGGTGTTGGTCAATGAGAAAATGAACATGAGCCTGCTTCAATGTGCACTCACAGCCCAGAAAGCCAACTGTATCCTGGGCTGCATCAAAAGGAGCATGACCAGCAGGTCAAAGGAGGTGATCCTGCCCCTCTACTCTGCTCTTGTGAGACCTCACTTGGAGTATTGTGTGCAGTTCTGGCATCCTCAACATAAAAAGGACATGGAACTGTTGGAACAAGTCCAGAGAAGGGCCACGAGGATGATCAGGGGACTGGAGCACCTTCCGTATGAAGACAGGCTGAGAAAGTTGGGGCTGTTCAGTCTGGAGAAGAGAAGGCTGTGTGGAGACCTCATAGCAGCCTTCCAGTATCTGAAGGGGGCCTATAGGGATGCTGGGGAGGGACTCTTCATTAGGGACTGCAGTGATAGGACAACATGGCTTCACCAGGGGGAGGTCATGCTTGACCAATCTCATAGCCTTTTATGAGGAAATAACACGGTGGATGGATGATGGCAGAGCGGTGGATGTGGTCTACCTTGACTTCAGCAAAGCATTTGACACAGTCTCCCACAGCATCCTCACAGCTAAATTGAGGAAGAGTGGTCTGGATGATCAGGTAGTGAGGTGGACTGTGAACTGGCTGAAGGAGAGAAGCCAGAGAGTTGTAGTCTGTGGGGCGGAGTCTAGTTGGAGGCCTGTATCTAGTGGAGTGCCTCAAGGGTCAGTACTGGGACCAGTATTATTTAATATATTCATCAATGATTTAGATGAGGGAATTGAGTGTACTATCAGCAAGTTTGCTGATGACACTAAGCTGGGAGGAGTGGCTGACACGCCAGAAGGCTGTGCTGCCATCCAGTGAGACCTGGACAGGCTGGAGAGTTGGGCAGGGAATAACTTGATGAAATATAACAAGGGAAAGTGTAGAGTCCTGCATCTGGGCAGCAACAACCCCAGGTTCCAGTATAGGTTGGGGAACGACCTGTTAGAGAGCAGTGTAGGGGAGAGGGACCTGGGGGTCCTAGTGGACGACAGGGGGATTGGACTAGATGATCTTTTGAGGTCCCTTCCAATCTCTAGCATACTGTGATACTGTGTGATACTGTGACAAGGGGTAATGGGTTAAAACTTAAACAGGGGAAGTTTAGGTTAGATATAAAGAAGAAATTCTTTCCTGTTAGGGTGGTGAGGCACTGGAATGGGTTTCCCAAGGAAGTTGTGATGGCTCCATCCCTGGCAGCATTCAAGACTGGGTTGGACATGGTTTAGTGTGAGGTATCCCTGCCTATGGCAGGGGGGTTGGAACTAGATGATCTTAAGCTCCTTTCCAACCCTAACTATTCTATGATTCTATGATTCGATATCCCTTTGGTCAGTTGGGATCAGCTGTCTTGGCTGTGCCCTCTCCCAGCATCCTCGCTGTGTACACGTATGATTGTCTATATATATAAGGCACAATATATACAAAGTTCAGTATTATCTTGCTTAAGAGCACTAAGGAAAAAAATTAGGATTAAGTTATATAAATGATGAGTGGAACATCCGACATAAGCATTACCCCCGATGCTTATGTTATTTATGTAAAGAAGACTTATGGACATAAAAAATTAAATCATGAGTACATAGTATTCAGTGTTTGCATTTCTTAATGACATCCTGATGACCCTAAACAATTGTGCTGAGAATTAGAGTGAAGTACGTACATGACAGAAACAAAGTACTATGAATGGGACTAGATCTGCAAGATCTGGGTACTGGTTCACATTACAGTTTTCAAAGATCCTTAATTTAACATAGGGTAAGTATATAGTAGTACAGGTAGGTAGAAAATTGACAGATTTGGGTTAGTTACCGAAATCTGCATTCTCTCACCGTGTAGTGTTTGGCTTCATTTTCATATAAATTCAACTTAATATTGTACTGAATGTATCCTTTGCCCAAAACAAGTGCAGCCAATATTCAGAAGGAAAATTTCAGACATCTTACTCCTTTTTAAATCATAAAAGGCCTCCCTATAATAGTCCCCTTCTGCCTTTTGCTTTACTGAAAAATGTATTCTCCTACAAGTTATTTAATGATGATGCTTGGCAGGACAGTTTTGAAGTGTTCAAAAACCATGTAGATGAGGGCTTCAGTGACATAGTTTAGTGATGGTCTTGGCAGTCAAGGGGTAATGGTTGGACTTGGTGATCCTTAAAGGTCTTTTCCAATCTAGTTGATTCTATGATTCTACGACATACCCATATGTCAAGATAAATGGTGAATGCTGGCATACAAATTGCTCTTCAGCTGTTATGAATTTCTATTTCATGTATTATTGATTTCCCTGGTAAAAAGGAAAAACAAACAAAACCCAAACCCACCAACTTTTAGACATGCTGGGTTTACACTGTAGGGAGGTAGCATATTCCCTTTAATTTTTTGTCACTGCTCAGTTTCATTTAACAAATTTGTCAAATTCATTCACTTAAGATTTTGTAAATGACACCCAGATGTTTTTCATCCCCAATAGCTGACTCTGAGGATCGTGAGGTAATGACAATAATAGCTAACACCTTTTATCTTTATGAGGATTACAATAATATCTTTTACTTGTTTTGGATAGTTTGCTTTTCATTACAGAAATGAGAACTCTGTAACACAAAAGCACTTCTCAACTTCTGGAATAAGACGTGTATGCTTTTACCGCTGCACTCCCCAAGACATACACATATTCTGGCTTCCCTCCAAACTTAGAGCATGGGTATTCTAAAGATGTAGGGTGATCCAGTCAGGTACCTGATACAGCAATCAGGGGGAAATAGACTCCTGCAAGCACAAAGTGCTCCTGCCTGGCAAGCAAGGCAGAGTCACAGAGGTTCCCCCACCAGAATAACGCAGAATGCCTGGATGCGTATGTTCAGATTGCTAATGACCTGCCTAGTGTGTCCAAGCTTATACATGATCTGAAGCAAAACCATGTGTTATATAGCTCTTCCAGGCCTGCAGTTCTTTTCAGTCAGATTATTTCTAACTTTCCTTTTGCTGACAACTATACTTTCTTCCTTCAGTTACTTAAATCAGAATAAAATAATGAAAATCTATCCATTTCCAGTACCTCTTCTCCTGAGGTCCATGTAGTCTCTGAAAATACACAGCAATTTCTTGCTAATTTCCATTACATAGCCACATAAATCCACTGGAGGCAGCTGGAAGAAAGGGGAATACGTCTAGTTTTAGAGACATTTAAATTGTGATATAAATACATTACATTTTTAAATTCAAAGGATTAACTGCAAGCATTTATTTATCAAACATTATTTGTAAGTGATCAATGTAAACATATTGATAGGGTAATTAGATAATCTGGATTTTAATCAGAACTGCTTTGTCTGCAGCACCTGGGTGTTTCATATTGCTTCAATGATTTGCCTTGCTGCAAAGAGTACCTGAAGTTGTAGAAGTAAAGTTTGCAAAAAAAAAAAAAAACAACGAAAAAACCCAGGAAACTTCTTACTTGCGCCCTTTTTCTTCTTTTCAGAAAAGTGGGCTCTTTCTGTTTTATATAATCTTTGTATAGCTCCTGAGAGGATGCACACAATTATTTCCAATAAAGGCTGTAAATTGTATCTAAAGTGCCACTGTACTATCCCCTAGCATCTGAGTTTAAATGAGGGTTTCATCATGCGTGTATGCTCATTTACTCTTCAGACGAACAGCTTATTTTGTTTGTCCTATATTAGTTTTCACAGTGTAGAGTTCAGAGCTTCAGTTTCTATCTCTCTCTTCCAGTTGTGAATACTGATGATGTAGCATATATTTGGCTCCTCTATTTTAAAGAAAATATTTGAATGCTAAATTTTACACCCATATTTTGTATCTTATGGCACATTATGCCAAACCAGATGGCCAGTGATTTTCTAACAATAACAACAATTTCATATCGAGACGTTTTGTGTTTTATTAGACCCAGCCAACTGTATTTATTTCTGCCAGAAAATTCCAAAAAGTTCTCCAAGGCTTTTCAGCTCCAGTGGTTCATAAAACCAGTGTGAAAAATTAGTTCTGAGGATTTATGACTACCTTTCCATAAGATGAATCCTTCTCTTCTATTTCTTGTTATATGCATTCCATTTTATATTGAATTATGAGAAATCACTGCTAGACATGTGAAGGAAAATTAAACTTATTCATTTGATATGCTTTTCAGGTAATGTATGAGATACTAATTCTGGATTTCCATGGAATAATGGTAACCTTGCTCGAATAAAACATGGCAGCATGGACATTTAGCCAGGATGTTCAACAGTTCAGGTAGTATAGCATTTGTAGCATACCAAGAAATGCCAGTGAAGTTTTCAGTGCATCTGCAGACAAGCCAACTGGCCCATACCATGCATTTTTTATTTCTTCAAGCTGATCTATGCAGTGGAAATGGCCTGTGTACACGCAATAAGTCCTGTGGGCTTGGTATGACGTACTGAAAATGCCCAGATTGCTTGGACAGGACATGTATCAGACATCCAAACCACAAATGCTTTGTAGAATTTCTACTGAGTCAACTGTTTGCACATAAATTCTGATTCACTCATATAACTCAGAGTGACTGTACAGGATTTGTCTCCCTGAAGTGTAAGCATATACAGCACAGACATCTGTACTAGTCAATCACAGTTTGGCATTCCATGGACAGCAACAGGTACCTTTGGGGGGTGATTCATCTAGTTGCCAACTTAATGCGAAATGGACTCCAGATTCTGTTGACTATGTTGACTAACAGTCATTGACTATGAAAAGACCATCATGTGACAGGGTAAGTAGTGGACATACAAATGTTAGGGGAGGTTAACTTCATCTTCTTTATTTGTGGGAGACATTTGGTCTAATGCAATGAAGAAAACAGTTAAGTAAAACTTGCAAATTAGAATTATCTGATGTTTACTATATAACAAATATGTTGCAAATGTGAAGTATTCTGGTGTTTATTTTGCCAAGATTAAGTAAACTTGAAAATCTAGAATAATTTTGGAATCATCAGTATTTGTTAATTTATACTTATGTATTTAGAGATAATTGCATACTATTTCATGTATGCAGCTCACTTACCTTATTTAATGTAATGAAAAAACATTCATATGCTCACTTTAAAGATTCCATGAACTTTAAGTAATCCTTTATACATGCAACTTTTTACAGTTCAGTCTCCACATTTGCATTCAGTTCTGGCATTTTTACTCCGAAAGCACTCTAAAATGGTTTCTTTGCAGGAGACTACACTCAGAAGTCACAGATGATCGACATGCATGTGGGTATTCTGTTTGGTTAATTCCACAATTTTTAAACTTACCTATTTCTTCTGTATACAAATAAGGTTTTTATAACTCAAAAGGCAGCATTTTTAATCCCAGTATGTCAACCAAATTGATCAAAATAAATTAAAAGAGCACAATGTAAACCTGAGCAAAGTTACTGTGATTTAGAAGTTTGTCTGGAATGCTAATTAATCATGTCCTTTCATTGTGCTTGCCTGAACTGATGATTTTTTTACAATGGGTTATCTGTAATTATCAGGGGAGTTTTAATATAATATATTTATTTACACATACAAAAATCACGTAATTTCACACACAAAAGCTTTAAATATGCAGCTTTTGTCTATAAGACAAGTTTAACAGAAAAATGTTGACTGGTTATGGAAGTGGAGTGTGTGAATGTGTATAAGAAGTGATTTTTTTTAATAAATCAGCCACCCTCGTTGGTTTGGTTATCCAGAATAGATTTTAGTAAATATTTATAGCATTAAACTCTGCGCTTCCCCTATGTTAATCTCTTGAGAATTCAACACTGAAAAATTCCACACTGAATAAATAAAACAATCAAAAGAATAATACCCATAGTAGATCAGTATGGATACGTCAATTTGTCAAGATTGCATCATTTGGAAAGTATTCTGATTTATTTACTAAAAAATGTCTTAACACTAGCCTGCTTGTGTCCTATAGCCAGTCCACTAGAGCTTAGATGTTCTTCTCAGTTCTCTATCAATAATCTACAATGCCTAATAGATTTTTTGTACTAAAACCATTTCATGTTAATTCTCTTTCAAATAATGCTTGTATCATCAGTCAGTGACAGTGAACATCTGAGAACTTATAGTACAGAACTTAAAGCCACATGAAAGGGGTGTCGTGGTTTAAACCCAGTCAGGTAATTCGTTCACTCACTTCCCCCCCTTTTCTTGCCCTCCCCCTGCTCCCGGAGGGACGGAGAGGAGAATCAAAAAGAATGCAACTCCCACGGGTTGAGATAAAAACAGTTTAGTAACTAAGGTATAACACAAATCACTACTGCTACCACCAATAATAACAATGATAATAGAAATAACAAGGGAAGAGAATACAACACCTCACCACCAACCAACTGATAACTCGGCCCCCCAGTCCCCGACCAAGCACCGACCCATACCTCCTCCAACCCTGCCGTCTCCCAGCCCTTCCGTCTCACTCCCAGTTACCTCCTGGGCATGACGTGCTGTGGTATGGAATACCTCTTTGGTCAGTTTGGGTCAGGTGTCCTGTCTCTGCTTCCTCCCAGCTTCCCCTCCTCCCTGGCAGAGCATGAGGCTCACAAAGTCCTTGGCCAAACCAAAACATCTCTATCAGCTCTGTTCCCGAGCTGAAAGTCAAAACACTGCACTGCACCAGCTACCAAGGAGGAGAAACATGACTGCTACTGCTGAACCCAGGACAAGGAGCTTTCTGCCTTTTGAAAAATCTAATTTTCATTAAGCAGAATTCCTATCACTTTCCAAGTTGCTGAAAGGATGTACAGAAATTGATTTGGCATCAGTTAAATCTATTTTGGAACTGGAATACTTACGTAACATTAGATGAAAAAAATGCTTTGAAAATACATTAACTGCTATAAGTTCCTTTTTTCCATTAATATATACTTCAGGCACTTATATTGGTCTTTGCCTGGCATTAAATATTCAGATTTCTGACTTCTTTTGGATTATAAATCACTTTTTCCTCCTCTAAACAAATAGCTATTTCATTAGTTATTTTTAAAAGTCCTCAGGAATAATATATCCCTAAACCTGGAATCTATTAAAAATGTTGAGAAATAATGGGCAAGAGAAGAGAGGTTTTTTGATACTGTGTCATCACATAAAGTCATATATACTCATGCTACAGAAAATAGGGAATGCTGAAAAGTGAACTAAACTTAGAAACACACACATAAAGCTGCACTAGCATTTCTAAGGCACTGCATTAAACTCTTCTTTAAACAGTTTTAATTTTGTTGCACAACACCATATTTTGTTCTGCAACACAGCTTAAAATATGAAAAAGCAAAAAGATGTGACTGTTGGAAAACATGAATAGTTAGTACTTAAAACTGCATAAACAGTCCTGTGCTAATATTCAAGCACTATTGCATAGCTGACATGATTTAGTCATAGAATCACAGAATCATATAATCATAGAATGGTTTGGGTTGTAAGGGACCTTAAAGATCATCTAGTTTCAAAGTTCTAATGCCCCTACTACGGGCAGGGACTTACACCTTCCACTAGACCTCCAAGCCTTGAACACTGCCAGGGATGGGGCAGCAACAGCTTCTCTGGGCAATCTGTTCTAGTGTCTCAGCACCCTCACACTAAGGAATTTCTTTCTAATATCTAACCTAAATCTCCCTTCTGACAGCTTAAAGCCATTCCCCCTTGTCCTGTCACTACATACCCTTGTTAAAAGTCTGTCTCCAGATTTCCTGTAGGCACCCTTCAGGTACTGCAAGCTGCTTTAATGTCCCCCTGGAGCCTTCTCCAGGCTGAACGAGTCCAGCGCTTTCAGCCTCTCTTCATAGGAGGTGCTCCAGCCTCCTCTGGACTCGCTTGAGCAGGTCCATGTCCCCTCTTGTCTTGGAACCACCCTCAGAGCTGAATGCAGAATTCCAGGTGGGGTCTCACAAGAATGGAGTAGAGGGGGAGAATCACCTAATTCAACCTGCTGAACATGCTTCTTTTGATGCATCCTAGGACACAGCTGGCTTTCTGGGCTGTGAGTGCACACTGAAGCCAGCTCATGTTGAGCTTCTTATCAGCCAACACCCCCAAGTCCTTTCCCTCACGGCTTCCCTGAATCACTTCTCCTCCCAGCCTGTACCTGTGGTTGGGATTGCCCCAAATCACGTGCAGGACATTGCA